CATTCTGACATTCAAAGGAAAAAAAAATGTTAGTTCTGTGCTGGTCCTTAATGTAACAACTAAATAAATAACATGAAAATATGTAACTTTCAATTAGTAAATATAGCTGGGAAAAAGCTGTGCTATGATCAAATGAATGATATATGTTTGTTAAAATAGCCATTCAATTGATGTACGTCTTCAAGGGATACCACCATATGATACTGACATATTATAAGAGATGGCTTTAATACACCTAGCATTCTCCTAATTCCCTATGCTGGAAAATAATGTGACACAAACATTTGCGACCCCATGTTCATAGGAACATTTTTTCTTATTTTTCATCCTGGAACACGCACACGAAGTTTGTAAACATACTTCTGACTCACCCTGTATATATATATATATATATATATATATATCTGCAAGGAAATGAAGCCTTCATTTTCCAGTTTCATATAAATGTTAACTAAATTATATATATTAATAAAATACATAGACAATACTGTGTGCACAAGAAATCTCCACATGAACCTGGCATGTATACCAAATAAAACGTCAAACTCTTTTACTGTTACATAAATATAATAAACTACACATTTATCTTTCACTTACCCACTACAAAATGGAAGATCCAAAGAAAGTTATTCTGTGTAGGGTTGTTCTACAAATATAAGTAATGGAAGACGAGACATATCCCTCATTTACCCCTGAGGATTTACATCTTTTGTTTCATTTTCAACCACCCAATACGTTACAAGGTAAGTGGATGCTAGGGGTTTGCATTGACTACTGTGCAGCAAAGCATTATTGAGGGAGGAAGTTCACTTCAAAACAGTCAACAAGAAGGAGTCGAACAAATTCAAATCCATCACCATAGGCTTTGTTTCCCAAACATTCTCTGCCAGCATTAACAAGTGAATGTCAAAAGCATGACATGCATCTGGTTCGCAATTAAGTCTCATATCTCCCAAACTTTAAAAAAATAAAAAGCAAAAATATTCATATCTTTACAAGGTACTGTAAGAATATTTGCAAACTGGAGAGTCAGGAATGGGTTTCAAATGTTGTAGAAGTTGCCAGAATGTTGTGACAAAGGTCTTGCCTGCCATGTGAATCTGAAAACTGGATTTCATATCATGCCAAACACACGCTCATAGAAACATTAATAAGCACTTGGCTCTTACAAAGAACGGTAAGCACACCAGCACTGCAGCCCTTGCACAACATGCCAACAACTTGAGTCCACTACTTTTTGGTTTGATACTACTCATTACAAATTAATGTTCAACTACCAGATGTCGTATTTTCAAATACGAAGCTGTATGATAAGTTTCTTGGGCACTGTACGTAATTAAAGGAGCATAAAGCACAATCACATGACACAATGAAGCACTACCAACCTTCACTCACAAACTACATGAAGACAAACAGATTTTAAACTGTCAGAAAATAACATCTGAGTGAACAAATTTTGTAGTGTTAAAGCTAGCAATGAACTATGTACACAGTGCTGCACCTGCTTATTCAGGCAACTGTAATTATTTTCTGATGAATCAAATGAGACATAAATACAAAACATACTAGTGATAAAAGAGTGCAGTGGTTTTTGAAGAGTAGTGTAAATGGCTGAGACATTTAAAAATCCATGTAGGAGGTTAATTTATTTTAGTTAATGATACTGTGCAAATGTATGGTATGTTTTAAGTAAATATTACTCTGAATATCTGTACAAAAAACTATACTTTGTGAATTAATTATATTAAGAATTCAGGCTCACAACTGCAGCAAAGAGTTTCACAAGTTTCATAAATTAAATATATTTCTAGAATAGCATGTATATAACAACTTGAATCAAATGGGCAAGGTCATCAAAGAACCACACCTCAAGCAAATATTTAAATGAGTTATAAACATAATACAGATTTCAATAATTTTTTTGATATACAAATAGCCATGTGACCCTGCATTACGCTGTAACTACTAAAACTACATGGGAAATCAAAGTGACATGCAAAGCATTATGGTACCAGTAGTATGTCATCGCTAGGGTCACGGGCACGTTTCTTCCCCACTTCCACGCCGCCAACGGTTGCCACGGAAACGGGCTATTAGTAGCAGGCAGACAAGCAGCCAAGCATCGGGGAGGCCCGAGTGGGAAGAAAATGAGCACAACAAATCAGAAAAAATAATAATAAAACTTTTTAGAAAGGCAACCATTAATAATCAAAGGTAATAATAATAAAAACATGGACCAGCAAAGATATGGCACTGGGCAACAATAAGTCACGAACGAATGGTTACTGACTGCCCTAATGGGAGAAGAGTGTCACGGTGAAACTGACCAACGTGTGTTGGTACGTAAACAAATACAGTAGAAGAGGTGTGGAACATGCAGGCAGCTCTTTGTTGTTACTGAAACAGAAGTGGCTGAGGACCAAAAAAGCATGAGGGCAGGCAGGCATCTCTTGGCAACATCCAGCATGGCAATTCATGTACAACAGCAAAGAAGAAGAAATTTTGTCCCATGAGCTTTGTTTTCATAAATTTATGCATCTTTCACATGCATGAAAATCACAAAGAGGAATATTACGCTCCATATGAGTTATCCACATTGCAATAAAAATGTAAGATTCCAAAAATAGAAATTAAAAGTATCTGCAAAATGTATTTTTCCCATGCGCTGAGAGTAAAATAATACGCGGAGCTCATATAGGAACAACCAAGAGTAATTTAAATGCCTGTGCTCCCGTGCCTCCAGTTTCCTCTTAACAGCGGGGAATATAAGAAATGGTGATTTTGATGATGCCCATAACCTACAGCAGAGTATACATAATACGTAGCAGCATGCACACCTGTAAAGCAAGGAAACACGACAACAATGACAACAATCAGTAACAATCAAAGCACCTTTGCCAACTGTTCAGCACTCAAGCATGTACTTCCATTACAGCGTGAAGGGTCTAGCTATGGCAGTGAAAAGACAGGAACATAGGTTACGGATCAAGAGTACATGACATGGGGCAAGGATTTGGTAGTAAGACTTGGATAATTATGAAATTGAATCAACAAATCAACAGTCACATTGAATCTGGGCACAGCTGTCCTCTTACTGGCACAGTTGTATCTGGCATGTGTGGAGGCATCAGTAAAACAATATAATCACAAACCAAGAGTCCTGACAGAATTATTTGGGGTTCTCATGATGGCAAGCATGAAGAAAAGCTGTCTTTGGGATACTGTAGATACTGACCAATGTGTCAGAGGAGCTTACTGCCACCATCACCCTGATGACGGAGTTGGTAAGCTCCTTTAAAACATAAATCAGTACCCACCTGACTACAAGCTGCAATGCCGCCAAGACGTTCATGTTTAAAATCATGCAACTTAACTTTAAATGATTTTATCCCTATCTAAGAGATGATGCCTCCACACAGTATTCTGAAAGACAAAGTTACAAGTAATACAATCACCTTCCACACTGTAAAGACGTACCCACTAATACTAAATAAAACAGTCGGTCTCACCCATATGCACAGTGGTCCGCACTGCTGCAGCTGTTAAGTGTTAGGTGACAGAGTATGTTGCAGTGACTCACTCCACTGCTAACAAGCCCTACGCTTCAGCAACATTACATTATGCTGCATGAAAATGGACTACTTGAAATCTTACCTAGTACCATCATTGAGGACCATCCTTATGGAAATCCTTTGCTCCTTCGCTTACATCTAACCAACATCACACACTTTGTGCCTTAACAAGCAGTCGCTGAGAACACTAATCTCTGCGTACTAACAGAGAAAGGGTGTCAAGAATTTATCTTTAATTTCAAGTGGTTTGGCTCCATTAAGAATGAATCACTTCAATGAAATTTAAGTCACTTAAATGTTGCCTTCTGCTGTCTGGCCAATGATTGTCTAAGAGGGTGGCATTGATGCAGTGTTGCTGGGCAAAGAGAGCATTCAGTAACTACAAATGCTACAGCTAGAGGGTGGACATGAAATAGAGAAGAAACAGAGAAAAAGATAGACAGATAGGC